GGCAGCGGGGCCCGAGGGCGTCGGGGCCCGGGTCTGTGCGCCGTGGGGGCCGTCTTCGTGGGGGGGAGCACAGCTGCGTCCTGGAGCGCCCGAGGCCGGCCGAGGCGCCTCCGGCCCCCAGGCGAGGGCTGGGGCTCTTCCGAGTGGAGCGAGGAGGTGCAAAGGCCCTGGGGTGGGAAGCCGCCCCACGAAGGTCCGAGTGGCTGGAGATGGTGTCCTCGCGTTCGCCCCTCGGGGACGCAGCGTCGCTGCGAGGCGCCCTTCCCCGAGCTGGCTGCTGTGGGGGCCAGGAAAGCCAGAGGCCAGGCCAGGGGGGCCGGGCTCAGCGGATCCGCGCGGCCTCCATCCTCAGCCAGCTCGTAGCTAGCGGAGGCCCGAGCGTGCTGGGCAGCCCCGAGGCGCGCACCGTACCCAGCGGCCGTCGCTGTGGTGTGCTGGGCTGTGTGTGGTGCCGACGGCCCGTGGGCGTGCAGAGGCGGGCGGGGGACTGATGACATGCAGTCGGGTGTAGGGAAAGGTTTGCTGAGAAAGACCGCCTTGCTGGCGTGGGGGGCCCGGGGATCCCAGCTGTCCTCAGCACCGGAACAGGACACTTCCTTCTGCTGTGGGTTTCACCAAGGAGAGCTGGTAGGTTCTTCCCGAGTCGGGAGAGCTTTGTGTTCACTTAGCTTTTCATTCCGCACACAGCCAAGCACCAAGCCTGCCAGTAGGAGGACAGGTGGACGAGGCTGGGCCCCGGCACCGGCCATAGTCTTGCGTGGTGCAGCTCACGCTCACCCAGCTGCCTGCGTCCCCTACCTTCCACGTTTCGCTGTTCCTCACGCTTCTCCAGCAGTTGCTGTCCCTGGGTTTAGAGCCATCTTGCCAGGTATGCGTGCCTGGGGGTTCACCTCCCCTCGCTGCTTCAGACTGCGCCCATCTCTAAGATGCTGCTCCTGGGTGCCCGTCCCCTCCCCTTCCCTCCCCCCCGTGGCTCACCCAGGCTAGGCCAGCAGGCAGGCTGCCCTTCTGCTCTTCCTCCCTCCGCACGGATGCCTCTGGGTGTGCATCCCAAGAAACCCAGGAGCCTTGTTGAGGCGATGTCTGCCCCTGCTTGCTTTCCAGGATGGACTTCCCCAGCCCCCTCCGCCCAGCCTTCTTCATGACTGGCCCCCTTGGCATGACTGATATTCCCGACTTGTCATTCATGTGCAGCTGGAGAGATGCCCTGACCCTCCCAGAGTCCCCTCTCCCCTGCTCCAAGGTGAGGATGGCCCCAGGGCCCTGGCGGCTCCAGGAGGGGCCCTGGCCAGTCCCCTGGGAGTGTGTGTGTCCACACGGGGTGACTTGGCAGAAAGCAGGCCCCACTTTTCCTGTCAACTTCTTGCTCAGGCTCTCTCTCATTTGGTACTTGATCCCTTTTTGTGGCTGAATGATACACACCGTGTGGATGCGCCTGGCCTCCATTTATCCGCTGGAGGACACTTGGGTGGTTCGCTCTTTGGCTCTAAAACGTAATGCAGCCATGATCTGCCCAGCTCTTCTCTTTACTACTGGCTCTGTCCCCCGGGACAAGTGACAGCCTTCCATGCCACAGTCTCCCATCAGCAAAAGGACCGTAACATTTGGACCAGCTAGCGGGTTGCTGGGTGGGGTGGGAGCAGGCGTGGCGATCAGCCCTGACCAGCCTGGGCTGGACTGCTTGTTTCCCTAGGGTGGGGCGCTCCCCCCGGCCCAGGACCTGCTGTGGGAGCCGGCGCTGCCAGGACCCGTCCCCCTGCTGCCTCCCGGCCCCGGTAACGGCCTGCTTCCTCCCTGCCCGCCTCCCCCTGGCCCTGCTAATGGCGTCCAGCCAGACACCCCCAGACCCCCACCATCACTGGGGCTTCCCAGTCTCTCCCCTAACTTCATCTTCCTTAGACCCCTGGGACCCTGGCCTGACAGCCCGTGACCTCCTTTTCCGAGGCGCGAACCCCTATCGGAGGCAGCCCCGGGCTGTGCTGGACATTACTGAGCAGGTGAGGGGTGCCACGGAGCCCTGGCCATGCTCAGTGACCTGGCACCTGCCCGCCCCCCTGCAGCTGGGTCACTTCCTGTGTCCCCCTCCCCTCTGCAGCTCAGCCACTTCCTGTGGGATCATGGGGACGTGGCCTTCACCCCGCTGGGGAAGCTGATGCTGGAGAACTTCAAGCTGGAGGGAAACCGGGTGAGTGGACCGGAGTGGCCGGGGAAAGGCTCCCTCACTTGGAGGCGCGGGGCGCGGGATCCTGACGAGCCTCTCCTCGCAGAGCCGCTCTAAGAAAGTGACGGTTGTCAGCGTGAAGAACCTGGTCCGGGACCTCAGCGGACACCAACCCTGGGGGCAAGTGGCCAGGGAGGAAGGACCGGATGGCGGCGAGGCGGCACTGGTGGTGGGGATGTGGAAGGGGCCGCAGTGTGACCCAGGTTTCTGTCACATCCGCCTCCCCACCCCATGTGCTCATGAGCTAGGTTTCCCTCTGCCAGAAGTACTCAACTCCAGGAGCCTGTTCCTGGATCTCAGGCCTGGCTGCGGCCAGGTGTTGGATAATAATGTTGCGGGGGGGGGGGGCGGGGGGACTCTGTCTCCTGTTGGATCATGGGCTCCCCTCCACCCAGCCTGACTCCTGCACGGCGGTTTGAAGGGCCTGCAAGGCGGCCTGTGACTCCGAGGGAAGAGGCTTGGCTGGGGTCCCACCTCCATCTTCCTGCCGTTTCTGCGCAGGGGTCACACGTGTGCTCCCGGTGTGGGGCACGGGGGTGGTTGTGGGTGGATAGAAACACTGCGAGCCTGGCCAGTGTCCTGTCTGTGGCTGCTCAGCGTCATCCTCTGTCATCCTGCCCCCAGGTGTCCCTGGGCGTACCTCACCCACCGGCAGCGCCGCTTCTCCATCCTCGGGGGTCCCGTCCTCAGCAGGACGGTCTCGAGCCTGCTGGGGCGTCTGCTGCGGGAGGAGCTGGCCCTGAAGTGGGAGCAGCTAATGCTGGACGAGGCCTTCACCGGGGGCGCCCTGGCCTGGCTGCCTGGCAGGACTGTGGGCACTGGGCAGCTGGTCTACCCCACCGGGGGCGCCCTGGACAGGCTGTGTATCCTCTGTCACTGGCTGGAGGAGGGGAAGGGCCGGAGCTGGGGTGGGAGCCCGTGTGATCCTTAGCCAGAAGCTCAGATCTCCACGAGGTCAGTTTGGCTTCCGCCGGTGACCCCCAGGTCCTAGGGGACCCTGGATGCATCCAGCTCCGGGGACCTGTTCGGCAGGTTGTCACCTCCACCGTCCAGGGAGAAAGTAAGGCCCTGGCACCTCTCCTCTACCCCACCCAGCCTGCCGCCTGACCAGAGCCTGACCACCCCCCCCAACCTCTCCTCCGCAGCACTGCTGGCTGTCCGCTCCGACTACCACTGTGCCGTGTGGAAGGTGGGCAGGCAGGGGCGGCCCGCCCCTTTGCAGGTGGTCCAGGTGGAGAAGGGTGCCACCGGGGTCAGTCTCAGGTGAGGGGCCGGAGGCGGCTGGGAGAAGGGCCGGCTGCGCCCTCTGCCCCCATCCGCCTCACACTTTCCTGTGCCCACAGCCCCCACCTGCCGGGGGAGCTGGCCGTGTGCAGCCGCTCCGGAGCCGTGTGCCTCTGGACGCCCCAGGACGGGTACTGCCCCTCTCCCCATAAGCATGCCACCCGCGCTCACCCGGGCCTGGCCCCCGTGCTCCCGCCTTGGTGCCCACATCTGCCTTCTCCCTTAGGCTACAGCAGATCTACAAGGACTCGGACACGCTCGTGTTCCGGGACCTCTCGCCCTGGCGCTGGGCAGACTTCACAGCCCACCCTCGGGTGCTCACCGTGGGTGACCGCACCGGTGTGAAGATGATCGACACACAGGTGGGCATAGGTGGAGGTGCCCCCCCGCCCCCGGGCTCCGACCCCTACACGGTGGGGGGAGGGGAGCTCTGACCCGTGTCCTCCCTAGGCACCCCCGGGCTGCGGGCTGATGCTTTTCCGAGGGGGGGCAGAGGCTTCCTGCCAGAAAGGGGAACGTGTGCTGCTCGTCCAGTACCTGGGCCAGACGGACGGCGGGTCTCTCCCGCCCACGCTGCATCTCGTCTGCACCCAGGTGAGCACACCTCCACCCCGTCCTCAGGCACCAGAGCTGCTCACGGCCTCGGCCGCTGCGGGCAGCAGCTGCGGCAGCACTCGAATTGCTGTCTGGAGATGTCTGTGCGTGGTGGCCGGGCGGGCCAGGGTGGCCTTTCCTCTCAGTGCCACTCCAGTGGGCATCCAGGCGGGGGCGGAGCTGGGCGCCTGTGCAGAGCAGGTGGCTCCTGCTGAGGCACGCATCTGTCCCCCCCCCGCGGGGTCCTGGCTAGGGGCAGGTTTCCGGGTGGGACCCTGTGTAGTCTTCTAAGAATGTCTCCAGTTGTGCCAGCGGCTCGCCCAGGGTGGTCACAAGGCTGGGCGGAGTACTGCTGCTGGGTTCCCACGTGCCCCGAGAGCCTCGTGGTCGGGCAGGCCTCCACGGGCCGGCTCCAGATGTCAGTCCTGCTTCCTTCCTGCCCCAGTTCTCCCTCTACCTGGTGGACGAGCGCCTCCCCCTGGTGCCGATGATGAAATGGGACCACGGCCTGGCCTCCCCGCCCCTGCTGGCCCGCCTGCTGCCTCCTCCTGGCCCCAGCTGCCCGCAGCCCCTGCTTCTGGGGGGCCAGGGGGGGCAGCTGCAGCTGTTGCACATCACAGGTGGGTTGGGCTGGCCAGGGGCGCGTGGCGAGCCCGCGGGGTGGGGGTCCCTGGGCCTAGCTGACTGTCCTTCCTCCAGGAGACGGGACCTCCCCGCCCCGGCTGGCCGCACACCCGCAGTCCCTGCCCTCCTGCACCGACTCCCTGTCTGCCTTTCCCCTGCTGGAGCCCAAGAGCCATCAGCAGCTGCAAGAGCGCCTGGAAGCTCCAACTATAGGTAGCCGGGCAGGGAGAGGGTCAGCGGCTACGGGAAGGGAGGTGCCAGCCTCGCCCATCACCATGCTCTCCCTCCAGGCCTGTCTGCCACCATCCCACCACCCTGTGGCTCCACGCCCATCCTGTCAGTCTTCCAGCTCTCGGCCGCCGGGGACATCTTCTACCAACACCTCCGCCTGCAGACGGCCTGCAGCCTCCGCGATGAGGGGCCTCCAGGCAGCCCGGGGCCCCACCGCCTTCCTGCGGGCGCGGCCTCTCACCCTCAGGACCATGCGCCCACACCGTCCTGGGACGCCCAGGCCACTGCCCACTGCAGCCGGTGGATGGAGGCCCTGCTGCAGGTACCCCGTGTACCCCGTACGTGGACTGCACCCACCTTTTCCCACCGCCACCTACTGGGGCGCCTGGAGCTGCAGCAGAGCGCAGGGAAGACCACGGAGCGCCTGCGGGCAGCCATGGCCGAGGGGCGGCTGCTGCGGCGCGGGGACCTGGGCCCCCTCCCTGCTGCAGAACCGCCCCCCGCCCCCCAGCCAGGCCCTCAGGACCAGCTCACCGAGCGTCTGGGGGAGGCCTGGGAAGGCCGGGGTGCTGCCTGGTGGGGGAGACAGCAGGACAAGGTTTCGGGGCCCAAGAAACAGGCCAAGCGGGCCAAGCGCCGGACTCAGCTGTCCAGCACCTTCTCACAGAGCAGCTGCATAGACCACCCGGACAGCCCCGGCGGCCCCACCCCGAGCCCCTCGGAGGCCGCGCCACGGCCCCCAGTGACGCCACCCTCCCAGGCATCCTTGTCGGGACCCTGGTTACCCCGCGCCCCGTTGGAGCGGCGGCAGCGCCTCCGGGACCAGGTGGCCAGGCTGCCGCCCGAGGACACCCCCAAACAAGCCACGGTGCCCCTCTCGCAGCAGACGCCTGGCCTTACCAGCTCCCAGCCTCCCCGGAAGAAGCCGCGCATGGGATTCTGAGGGCCAGGGAGGCTGCCTCCCGGGGAGCCCGCAGGCAGCAGTGGGCTGGGGGCACTGGTGTCTGGTGGGAATGGGGGGGACCATCTGCTCAGTTCACCCCAGCTTCTCAGGGCCCACTGTGGACACCCCTGCAGTGTTCCACACTGCCTGTGCCCTCTCTGCGCTTTGGGTCACGTGGTCCCAGCCTAGCAGGAAAGGCACGTGATCTGTGCACACCAGCCCTGTGACACTGCTAACAAGAAGTTTATAATCACATCGCGTGACTGCACTAGCCATGCTGCTTGTGTACAGGGAACCTGGGGTCCCACGTGGGGGGGGGAACCTCTCACAGCCCAGCCTTCAGAGTGGGCTCCGTGGCCACCCTGTGGGAGGAAGGGGTAGCCCGTGCCCACTCCCTGCCCCTGCCAGTTTGATGGTGAGGGCCACCTTGGCTTCAGTCCAAGCCAAACTCAATGTCCTCTCGGCCTGTCTCCATGCTGGGCTTTGCCACCGACCATACCTCATGCTTTTCCATTTTGTCACCTGAAGACACAAGAGGAAGAGAAGGGTGCTCACTGTCCCGCAGCGCCCTCCCCCTCCCCCACCTGCTGCCCACCTGCAGCTCCCGCCTCCTCCACCTGCAGCTACACCTCAGACAGTACCTCGGCCTTGTCCCAGGCCAGAAAAGCCAAGGATGATGTGAAAGCCCGTTCCTTAGCCGGGGACTTGCTGGGCTCTCTGGCCACCAGGCAGCTGGAGGCTCAGCCCAGGCTACACCCCACAAGTGGCAGCTGACCCACGAGCCTGGGAGTTGTCCTGAGTCGTGAACCAGCGCTCCAGGCTGAGGCTCATTGTCACCCACCGTCCTCACCCCTCTGCCCCTGATCTTGTTCCAGGGTGGATGGCCCCCAGGTTTGGGGTGCAGGCATGTTACCTGGTGGGTGACTGTCCCCAGCCTCTTGGGAAGGGGCAGGTGCAGGGTCTGTCGTGCAGGGTAGGGGCAGCTGGCCTGCGGGCTCAGGGTCACTGAGCTCCTGAATGAGTGGCCCCAGGGCTGCTGTGGTCTGCCTTTGTGTCTGCTCACTTGTCCCTTCCTTAAATACGCCCATAAAAGGCTGCCGGGCCTTCTTGGAGGGGTCCTTAGAGAGGGTGAAGATGCCGGTCAGGGCGCCCACGTGGGTGTGGTTCAGCTCAGGGTCACTGTCGGCATCGTCGTCACTCAAGCTTGAGATGGCCTCGATCTTTGGACAAGATTCCTGCTGGGGACAGAAAAACTGAGCAAGCTCCATCTGCACCAGTCACCCGGGGTACCCGCCCTCTCCCCCACACCACAGGGTGGCATTACCAACTGGGTGTCTGATAGGCTTGGCCAGGTGTCTGCCCACCTGCTGCCCCTGTACCACAGCTCCCCGGGAGCCCTGGACACCTGGGCTTGCTTTGAGGGGTGGGCCTCATCCCTCGCCCTCCCCTCTGTCCACACATAATTCAGCCAATCAGATTCCTGAGGTGAGTTGGGAAATGCCCCCATGCACGGCTCAGGTGCAGGGCACAGCTGCGACCAGTCAGCAGGCAGATAAGTGGGAGAAAGCCAGTGTCTGCCAGGGCCTTGAGAGCACAGCAGCGCCACCTCCAGGAAGGCTGGGGCAGGCAGTCCAGTCACAAGGACATTTATCTCCAAGAGGAATGTGCTTTTTAGATGAGAACCAACACAAGTCAGAGCGCGGGCAGTCTCACCTGCTCCTCCAGAGATGCATCAGTACCGTCAACGTCCTCCAAGTCAGGCAGGTCCTGAAAGAGCCAATGCGCACGCGTCACCAGGGAGGCAAGAAGCGTCCGCCTTCTGTATGGCCAAGTCTGGAGACGCCACTGGTCGCCCAAACTGCGGAGCATCTCCCCACCCCGGCCCCCCAGCAGCAGCCCTGGGTATGTTCACAGAGCCCAGAACCAACAGGACTTAGTTTGGAATTGTCTAGCTATGTGTAAACATAGGAATGCATATACACAACCAAACACGTGGGCCACCGGCACTGAGCCAGGTGACAATGCAAAGTGTGGCATTAGAAATGAGCCAGGATGTGGCCTGGGGCCAAGCAGAGGGGGCAGCCGCCGCCCTGCCAAGTCCTGTGCCCTGGCCTGTCCCCAGAGCGCCTTTTCCCCTGGGAAATGGCTAGACTCCGAGGCTGAAGGCCAGCGCTCGCTCAGCACCCCCGGGGACGGACGGGACGGAGGCAGTCAGGAATGGCCACTCCTGGGCTGTGGCCATTAGTGGGCTGCAAGGCTTTGCAGAGAGGCCTCCGGTGATAGTGGACCTGCCCCGGGTCCCAAGGCCGCGCTGCCCGCACCTGAGTGCGCACAGCCCCGCCCGAGGGAGCCCTCGGCGGTGCGGACCGCTAGCCTGGGCCACCCTGTGGGTGGCAAGGACACGGGGTGTGGACCCCATCCCTGCGCTGCCAGCTGTGTGCTGGTGTCCCCCAAGCTTGGGCCTCCACCTACATCGATGAAGAGCTTCTCCTTGGTCTCCAGGGCCACAGGTTCGAAATCCTCACCAGACGCCACAGCTAAGCCGCCATCAGCCGCCGACCCAGGGCTGGGGGACTCTGCGGAACAAGGATGGGTCACTACTCCTGCGCTTGCTTTCCCCAGGCAAATGGGCAGCCCGTGACAAGCCACAGAAAGCACCGGAAGCCGCCTCCCTTCCTATGCTGGCCTGGGAGGTGGGCATCACTGCCGTGGGCTCGGAACTCTAGGGCAGAGGGGGCCCCCAGAAGGCAGCTGCATTACCTTGGGGTGCAGCTCCCCCAGGGGCCAGGGCCTGCGCTGGCTCTTCTCTCTCTCTGTTCGCCTCCAAGGGCAGCTCCTCTTCTCCACCCGACTTTTCTGGAAACAGCTCGTCCTTGGCCTCAAAGCTTTCGTTAACGAACAACTCTACTTTCCGCTGCGTTTCTGCGTCCGCGGGGGGCGCTGGCGGCCCTTCCTCGCTGGCAGGCTCACCCTCCGCACCTTGTGGCTGTGGCTTCTCCCCTGGACAGGGCAAGTCCACGGTGCGCGTTGAGGGCCTATGGGAATGCGGGGCGGCGGGCCCACGGGAAGGGCCCTCCAGAACCCACTGACCAGAGCGGGGCTTGGAGGCAGCCCAGCCCAAGGTCGTTTAGGAGCTGCCACACTTTAAAGGGCACAAAGCTGGAAAGCCAGGCACGGTAGCATACCCCTGTAATCCCAGCACTCAGAGGCAGAGGAAAGAGAATTGTGGGTTCCAGAGGAGCCTGGGCTACAGGGTAAGACCCTGCCCTAAAGAAAAACTGACTCAGGAGGAAAGTATGTGGTGGGGGCAGATGTATGGCAAGATGCTTAAAGCCACCCCATCTGAATGGCATTAATAATAGTCACCACTTCACTGTCCTTTCAGCTTTCCTGAAAACATGAAAGTCTTCCAAAACATTAAAAAAAAATGCATGCCCACCCAGCAGGGAAATGTCTTCTCTTCATGGTATGGTCATTCAAGTAGGCAGAAAGCAATGTAATTTTGCCACCTTTTGGTCGGGCGGGGCATTTTTCCATTTTTGAATATGAAAAGTCTTTTGTTACAGTCAAACACAGCGAGGAGGGAAATGGCAGGAAGCACTCTTGTTCCAGTGCTGTCGTATGCTCTTTGTTTCACAGATGGGATCTCATATTGCAACCCAGCTGGCCTTGAACGCGTGATTCCCTGCCTCAGCCTCCCCAGTGGCATGAACCACCCCACCCAGCTGGAAAGGGACTGTGCTGCTCTTTCCTGTGGCCACCCACACTAACTTTTTGCCTGGACTGGCTTTGAACCTCCATCCTCCCAAATGCCACCTCCTGAGTAGCAGGGTTTACAGGTGTGAGCCAACACACCCAGCTCTAGAACCAGTTTGAAATTTACGTGTAATTGTTGGAGACCGAGCCACAGGTGAGTGAACACATGCTCAAAACATCCCGGAGACAAAGGGCTGTGGCTTCACCGGCAGCTCAGGGGTGCCCCCCTGGAGCACGCACCTCTCTCCTGGCCTGCCTTCTCCCTTCGCCGCTCCTCAGACCGGCGCTTGATCATGGCCAAGGCCTCCAGGCTGTCCAGGATCTTCTTGCGCTCCCTTGTCTCCCACTGCCGCCTTTCCTCCTTCTCGGCTGCTAGCCCACCCCGGGCCCAGGCCTCGGCACAAGCCCTGTGGAGGAGGAGGGGAGACCCAGGCATGGGGATGGGCTCTCAGCAGCGAGGGGCACACGCCAAGCACGGGCTGTCTCAACAGACTTGCTCATGTCCTAAAGCAAAGGGCACAGAGGAGCCGGCCGCTGCCCACACCGCCTGCTCGTGCGTGCTCGGGGCAGTTTTATTCTCATTGGTCAAAGCCCTTCAATAGGTGAGTGGCTAAGCGGATCCAGCTGCTCCTGACAATGGAATATCATACACCCATGAACAGAAATAAGGTGTTGGGCCACAGAACAACATGGGGGAGACTGAAACGCACTGCTATACTGAAAGAAGCCTGCTCTGTTTCTCTGATGACCCAAAACAACTATTTGAAAAGTCTAGTCTTTTCCCTCCCTCCCTTCCCCCTTCTTCCTTCCTTCCTCCCTTCCTTCCTTCCTCTCCCCCCCTCTCCTGGGACTTGAACTCAGGGCCTTGGTGCTGTCCCTGAGCTGCTTTTGCTCAAGGTTAGCACTCTCCCACTTGAGCCACAGCACCACTTCTGGCTTTTTCTGAGTAATTTACTGGAGATAAGTGTTTCTCACTTTCCTGCTTGGGCTGGCTTTGAACTGTGATCCTCAGATCTCAGCCACCTGAGTAGCTAGGATTACTAGCTACTAGTGCCACCACTGCCCAGCTTCTGGTTATCTTTTTATGAGCAAAGAAATGGAATTGGTTTTCTCAAAGCACAGACAGATTGCCAGCAATTATGTGAGAGGAAGCTATTGTGTTAGCTACTAGGTAAGTGCAAATCACAACTGTAATGGGTCACATTCTGTAGGAAAGTAGATGAGCCGGGTGCTGGTGGTTCATGCCTGTAATCCTACTCAGGAGGCTGAGATCTGAGGATCACAATAAAAAGCCAGCCTGGGAAGGAAAGTCCATGAGACTCTTATCTCCAATGAACTACCACAAAACTG